CATAATGGTAAGAGAGAGAATCATCTAGCTTCAGAAATAAAAAAGACTGGCTTTACTATTTTCTTAGTATGACTGCTTCCCCATTCCCATTCTTTCCTCCCAGCTGTCAAGTGGAAAACTTGTTATTCCTGTGATTTGACTGAAGAAAGGAGAGGCAAATGCTAGGGGTAGGTGTGTGTAGGAACCATAAAATGTCAGTAGATGGGCTCTTGTTTGTACATAAAACTGACAATCTTGTGATTATTCATCTGACTCTTCATGTAAAGAAGGGAAAAGTTCAGCATTTATGTCACATAGTTGCATTTTTTTTTTTTTAAATTCAAGCAAAGAGAGACAATTTTTCCCCCCAGCTAAAACTGGGAGCTTATTAGAAAGCCTTTGTATAGTCAGAAGGAACAAGAGATGATAATATGTATGGGGCATGACATGATGGGCAGTTCCAGCAGGAGTGGTGGCAATGGCAATGTCAGTGTTGCAGAGTAATATTGCCATGTCATGGGAACAGAAAGGAAGGAGGGTGCCGTGGCTGCAGGACACGCAGGGAAATGCTGGCTGAAGGGGCATGTGAGAGGCAGAATGAGGGATCCCTGCAAGCAGGGAACAAGAAAAAACAATAGTACTTTCCAGAGGTAAAATGGAGTAAATCAGAATGACCTTTTGATTGGTCACGTTTGGCAGTTAAATGGGCGAGTTTTGGGCACACCAAGAGACAGATGCAGGCTGGAGTAAGATGGTTGCTGGCAAATTATAATTAGTTTTGTTGTATTTGCAGGAGTTGGCTGTAAGGGGGTTCAGCTGTAAAGCAAGCAACTCTACCAAATACAAAAACAGCTGCCAAAGAAAGTTAGACACTACTGTGACGTAACAACTTGAGGTTAAAAAACAAACAAACAAACAAAAACCAAACAGAAAAAGGGGTTTTTTTCTGTGTGGTAGATGATAACCACTATCCTTTCAGGGTTAAAGATGAAGTGAAATACATTGTGGTGCCAAACACCTGCTTCTCAAACTGGCCTGTTTAGAGGTAGTCAGGATGGCTGGGGACGATGCCAGTGGCAAAGCAGGCACCACCGGCTCATGAATTAAATGTCCCAGAGTGAGTGCCAGCAGTGAGCTCTCGGTGAGAGACAGGTCCCAGCAGGCCCAGGGAGAGCCAGACACGGCAGTTCTCAGAGATGACTGAAGTGAGCCGCATCATGCGAAGGGTGCAGTGATGTTCAGCTGCTGCTCAGAGTGTGCTAGAAAAGGCAGAGCTGTCACGGCCACACTGGGGCAAAAAGCAAAGCCAGGTTTTTGCAGGGTGGTGCTGTTGGGGTGCTGTGCTAATGCACTGCGATTTTCTGTTTCCTAACGCATAAATTACCATGCAAAAGCAAATCTCTGCACAGCTGCAATTTCTGCACGCTGTCAGGTAACACAGCAAATGCCTGTTCTGGCAGCTATGAACACCAGGAATCAGGGCCTTAATTTTGTGCAGAAAATAGGCACTCAGTTTCTGCCACAGCAAGCACACAATGCAGTTAATCTCCCAAGCAGTGTGCAAATGTCTCAATTTCCTTATGCACCGGCGTATTTCACTGACATAAAATGTCAGCCTGGCAGCAGGGTAAGTTTTTAAAATATTTTTTGCAGCATACTGTGCCCGCAGAAACAAAGGAACATATCCACGTCAATGTTCACTTTAGTATTTTGTATATGTGCCTAAAGTCAATATACTTGTGGTGAAATTCTAGATTAGCCAGGCCCCTCTATTTGGTTGCTTCCCTGTCCTTTCTTGCAATTCTTTTGTTGTTGTTTTTTTTAACACTAGTCTGGGCATCAAAGATTGGGGCAAGAACGGAAACACAGGTGTGTGTTTAAATCTTTTCCTAGTATGGAAGGCATCAAACATGACTGATGAATTCTAGATATTTTACAGCTCTAAATGACCACAAGATTCATTATAAAGATGACAAGATATATTAATTTGCATTTAGATATTAAGAATCAGTGTTGTGGAATAGGTTTTTCAGTGACTTAGAATATGGTTTTGTGCTCAGTATGTAGGTTTATGTTAAATGTTAGTTTTACCTTGGAAGTACATTCTTATGTGAGTTCTTTTGTCAAAGTAAAATACTGCAAGTTACAGGTAAAAATTTGAATGGTCTTATTTATTTCATACGCAGCTGCTCCTGACTCTTAAATCATGTGTATGGAAAGTGAGACATGGAAATTCTTTCCTCTTCAGGCAGAAAAGCCCAACCAGCCATGCCATGCAAGGGGACAGTCTGTATGGAACACAACTCCCTGTGTTCATGCTGCTCATGCAGGACCCGCCACTGCCTGCTGGCCCCTGCCTGCAGGGCCTGGGAGGGGTGGGGGTTCCAGGGTTTACAGTCCAGGTTCTGTGTAGAAAGGATCAGCCCCAAACTCATCAAGCCTTTGGCACACGATGTCTCACTGTAACTTGGTTTGTCTGTTCTTACAGAGGTGCCTCGGGGTCCTCCCAGCATCTCTGTGTGCTGAGGAGCCCACACCTGCAAACCAACAGCTGAGCCTGTCTGTGACACAAACACCAGTCCTCGAGACCTCCATCAGCTGTGGAGATGAGCTGGCTGGCTGCAGTGCTCTGTGTGAGACATTTTACTGCTCTGTGGAACTCTCCTGGTTTGTTTTGGTAACATCACTTTTCACAGTGCTACTGATGTGTCAGAAGTCCTCAGGCTCCTCATGCCTGTCTCTTCAGGCTCCTTAGGCCCCCTTGTTTCCACTCACTCAGTGTGCATTCCTGGTTAGACTCGCTTCCAGACCTTTTCCTTCCCCATTGTGCGTGAGGAATGGACAACAGGGTACAGCTAATTCCTCCTGAAGGGGAAAGCAGAGACCAGCAGCTGCAAACACCTCCTGGCAAAGCTGCAGGCAGAACTCAGAGCTGTCAGCAGAGTGGTGTGTTTCACTCTGGGCTTGGGAGAGAACGTGTGTGACCAGGAATGCACGTCCACTGCAGGCCCAGGGACTTGCCAGGTCACCCCTTCCTTGTGCTCTGCCTTTGTTCTGGAGAAGGGACCCAGCAAGCGGCACAGGAAAAGAGATGGTGACCCTTGCCTGTGGATACAGTTTTCATTTCACCCGAGATTCATTTTTACCGTGGAAAGCTACGTCCAGAAAAAATCACCGACATCCTAACCACGTGCTGGCCTGAGGAGCTGAGAGTGGGAGACAGTCCAGCCTTCTGCACTGGGCTTTCTAGTGCTATTCACACTGCCACTGTGCTTAGAAAGGACTGAATTAGGGATGGGCCTTAAAAAAACCCACCCTTATAAAATGGTGTATTTTATTCAGAGAGGGCTGACTGTGGAACAGAGGTAGAATGAAACCCAAGTAGGGCAAAAGCCCACCCCCACGGATGTGTGTCTGTCACAGCCACACACACAGACATGTAAGTGTACACCAGACTTCAAGTCTTAGTTTTCACCTCCAAATGATCATTTAATGTCACATTTCTGCCACTTGCCCCAAATGCCTGACTGTACTTAAGAACAAACAACAACTGTGCAGCTCCGCTGGGTTTCAGTGTGTTGACAGTCAGCTCTGGAGTGCAGAATCACAGAATACACTGAGCTGGAAGGCACCCACAAGGATCACTGAATCCGACTCCTGGATGGAGGTATCATTTGATAAAACATGTTTTCCAACAATGATTTTAGTCACAGTAAGTTTGGAAATAGATGTTTTTTGTTGTTCGCTTCTTTACTGTAATTAGAGTCTACAACTTAGGAAATTAACACAGAAACACTCACCTTGAGAGAATCTTGAGTACAATGAATAACACTCTTGGGTTTTTTCTGCTGAGATTTCAATAGGGCCTATTAAAAACTAAAAAAAGTAAATGATACTCTGTGGCTCACTTACAGTGCTTTTTACATGATTCAGAAGGATTTTACACTAAGGGAAGACTTATATCATGATAATGACCCTATTATGTAATACATACATGAATCTCCTATTATCTCTTACTTATGATGAGTTATGGTCACAGAACTGTTCAGTACCACCTTTAGTTTTCTTCTTAATCTGGAGCTTCACTGTATTTCACAATGCTTGGATTAGCAACAAAAGGCCCTGTAAGACCTGATAAAGGGCCAGGACTGCGACCTCCTTGCCATTTCTTAGGTTGTTTGGTGTTAGTGTTTCAGTTTCTGTTCATTTTCTCAGTTGCTACCACGCCTGATGGATCACAAAGTTGTAGTGAGGGAAATGTTCAAGTTAGCACTGCTGAGACAGACTGGAACAGCTGCAGCAAACAGAACAAACTACTGGTGTGCTCAGTATTAAAGAAAAAATGCAAGCAGATTGTTTTGAAAGCACAAAAATGCGTGATATTTACAAAGGTGTGGAATGCCTTACTTGCCCTGTAGTTATAGCAGAAGTGGCTATGACAAGGTTTAAAAGATGTATTTAATTTCCGTGTGTCTTATGCAAGAGTCTTACCCAGCTCTGGGTTTTTTCCTTTACACAATGGAGAAGGCAAAAAGCAAGTTGGTTTCCTTTGCTGGCCTTTGCAGAAAAACCTGTGCCATGAAGCATAACTGTTTTGTGAATGGGATCCTGTAATAACTCCGTCGCTGGCTGTGACTCCTTCAGAGTCACTGTGGTGTCTCAGCATGTCCTTGGATGATTTCCTCGGTCCTGCTGCTTTTGAAAGAACTCCCTGAGTGTCCCAAGGTTCGGGTTTTGACACTGTAAGCCTGGAAAGGGAGAGGTCAGACAGTGTGGTGAGGTGAAAAGGAACTGTACTCTTTGTACTGAAGTCACCGTGGAGGCGAGCTCTTACTTTACATTCTGAGAACAAAAATTTAAAAGAAATTAGCACAATTAATTTTTCTTGTTAATATCCATTAACTAACATCTTTCAGCTGCTTTTCTCCTGCTGCAAAAGCAGAAATGAGGTCATTCTTTTTCCCAGGTTTGTGAATTAACGTTGAACCACTGTGCAATGGAAAGAACTACACATACTTGGGAAAAGTATTTATTTTTACAAGATCATTTTATGTACAACAATAGAGTACAAAGGAAATATGTTCACAGATTTTTGTGCTTTAAGTTCTTACTCTCTGAAAGGAACAATTAAAATGTCTCCAGAAGTGTAGTGCTCCACTGATCAGGGAAGAAGAGCTACAGCTGACATATCATTGTGCAAAAGGAGCAGCACAGGGGTATAAAAGACACTTTACAAGTCTGACATTTCTGGTAAAATTTAACCTAAACATCGCAGAGAGAAAATGCTGATCTTTGTTTTTCCTTCAGTCCCATCCCTTCACCAGGATGATGTTAGGTCACTTTCCACAGATTATTTTTGCTTGTAGTTAATATCCCATCTCAGCTCCTGATAATTTTATGTGGGGCGTTTTTCATTATGACAAAGAAGTTACAAGCAAAAATTTAAGTACACAACACAATGTAATCAAATTTCAGAATGTCCACATTACTGCAGTGCATAAATTGTTCAAATCAAGAGTCCTTGGTACCTGCAAACTGGAATGGTTGTATTACCAAAGGCCAAGGACAAACCCCAAATGTCCTGAATCAAAGAATCACCTAAAGCCAGAGGAACACGTGTGTGTGTGTGTGTGTAGTTTGTTTTGTGTGCATGTGGTCTCAGTTACAGTAATCCTCTGGAAGCACAGAAACGTAAATATTTCTCCCATCTGATTGTTTTAGCAGTCACATAATCCTTCCTTTGATGTCCTGGGTCAATGAAATCCTGCTACCATCGGGGCTTAGTAGAAGATCTATTAAAAGAGTTTCTCTGTGATCTTTCCTGCAACGGAAACAGCACTTAAAGTTATTCCTCTGCCCTGGTAAAGGAGTATCTGTGCACTCTTGATTGCCCCAGCCTTCCAAAATGAGTTATTTTCCAGGTTACCAGCAGAGCGTGACTGGGGTGGCAGAGTTAAGAGTCGCTGTTCTCTGTAGCTTCCTGGAGCTACCACGGGGTCAGGAGACGGGGAGGATCCATGGAGGAAGCGATGTTCTCTTGGCTATTAGCAGGTTACTCTGAAAGTAATGCTGGAGGCCAGTTCCCAGAGCGATACTGTGTGATGTGGTGCATGTCCACATACAGTTCTCTAACCAGTACTGAGGGAGCTTTTCCACCTTAGGCCATTTAGTGTTTAGCATCAGGACATCATAATGTACACTGATTCACTTTCTGAGAGGAAACAGCAACAGCATTTCTCAACAGCTCTTAGAAAGGTACATCTTTTTTTGCTCTAGGGCTCGACTCCTGTTCCTGCTGAACTGAGCCAGTGTGTAAAATCAGAACTGATATCAGCTCAGTAGGCACCGGAGGACGGGTCCATCAACAGCCTGGAACAACAGCAGCAGCCGAAGTTGTTTCTGACTGGAGCTGCCACCATGTCCTGCAAATGACACACAGTGCTGAGCTACCACTGCAGAGAGACCATGCATTAAACAGAAGACTAAAAACAAAGCTTTATTGACAATTGCAGGTTAAAGCCACAGCCAGTATTTCCTCTGACCCTTAGGAAAGCACGGACACCAAATTACTACAGGCAATACCTTACATTTGCAGTCAGACTGAGAGCTGAAGGAGCACTGTTTATTCTCAGCTAAAAGCCTTTGGTCCTCCCTAAGTCGCCTCAGCCTCTTATCCTCCATACACTGGACCTCACACACATGCATTCACTCCAGATCTACCCATCCAGCAGCAAGGTATCTGCCCTGCACAGAGTCTCCTCTCCGTTCTCTTCAGGTGCAGAACTTAGCCACTGTGAACAAAGCGGGAAACAATCACTGTTCACCAATCAGCTAAGCTCTGCACCTCGCCAGAGAGGTCTCCGTCTCGGCAGAGATCATTTTCGGAGGAGGGTCTTCTGTGGTGCTCTGCTGCTTTCCTCTTTTTTTGGTTTGGTTTGGGTTTTTTTTGTTTGGTTTTGTTTCATGGATGGAGAGGATTCCAGGCTGTGCACGGATCAGACAGTTATGGTGAGTTTCATGCTAGCAGCTGCGGTCATGGCTGTGTGGTAATCCCTGGCAATGTGATTTTAATCTTAAATCACAAATCATCATGCCAGGAACCCAAACAGCCACAACATTAAAAGGAAATTGAGCAGTCACACAGAGTATTGTACTCAGTATCTTTAGATTTTATGTATGTCATAGCTCTTCACACGCTTCTAGTCTGTTTGGAAAGCCAAAGGGGTGACTCTGGACTATTGCTCACACACACATACCGGGTAATTTTCCTATGCTAGGTACTTACCATCAGAAGCTTGTAGAAATTTTGATTTTATTACTGAAGGAACTATAAGAAGTGAGTTCCCAGTACAGTAGTACCAGAACAAACTGCATCTCCATGTTTCTGGCCTTCAGAAGGTGCCCTTCACTACAAGACATCTAACAGATTAAGAGTTGTTGAATGTAACTCAGATTCCTGTGAGTCCTTGATAACTGGGAGTACACGAGGGTCTCTTAGCTGTACCTGTTCTAAAGGGAGGCTCCCCTACTCCACAGCTGATATCCTGGTACTCTACTGTCTGATCCACCTTTCCCAAAAACATTTTCTTGGCAGGCACAGCTCCCATCTATACAGATGGCATGGCTTTTCATAAACAAACTTGCACTTGCCTTCATAGAAGCTTTCATTTGCTGTATTTCATATAAATATAGTAAACCCCAAGAAATCAAGTGGAACTCTCTGTCAAACACTGCTTGAACAGGAGAAAACTGAGGTTTCTGCTTGGTACCAATGAGATGAAGATGATTTTGATAAATTAGATGCCAGAATTTTGATACCACAAATTAACCGTAAAGTGACATGAACAACCAAAGCGATCAGTTTGTTGGGTGAGTTTTACCATTAATCAAAGACCTGAGGTGTGCTGTACTGGAAGAAACCTTCATACCAGTCCTAATTGCTTATATGTTGAGCGTGCATGTGAGACACTGTAAGGTTGCCTCCAACTACTCAAACAGACTGAGCAGTGGGAAGCACCTTTGCAAATTACCACCTTATGGCCTACAGCAATCTTTATCCCATGAATACTTTTTGCAATTCTTCTTCCTCTCTGGTGATTTCTCCCCATCAGTTTTGCAAACAAGCTAGCTCCTTCATGTTAAGGCTACTCTTCTTACCTTGCAATCAATCTTCAAACGCCTCACTACCCTTAACAGGAACACATTTGAATTACCAGCTTGTTCTCAGATCATTCAGATTTGCTCTGAAATCCACAGCCTCATATTTCCACTGTGGGATTAAACTCTTTTCAAAGACTGTGCTGCCTATCAAGTAAACATGCAGCTCAATTAAACAGAAATGCTCCTTGCACAACTGCAATTTCCATAAGCACCATGAAGAATACCGAATGGGAAACAACTGTAGGCAGAGCCTGGCCTTCTTTGCCCCTTTGGACTTACAGTTGTCTCTTGTATAGTCCATTACAACGTTTGCAACAAGGCCATGTTCTCCAGCTAGTGCCTATATGTGTGTCACTCACTGCTCCTGCAGCTGGGCTTAAAAATAAAAAATAAAAAAAAAAAATTAAAAAATAAAAATAAAAATAAAAATTTAAAAAAAAAAAAAAAAAAAAAAAAAAAAAAAAAAAAAAAAAAAAAAAAAAAAAAAAAAAAAAAAAAAAAAAAAAAAAAAAAAAAAAAAAAAAAAAAAAAAAAAAAAAAAAAAAAAAAAAAAAAAAAAAAAAAAAAAAAAAAAGAACCAACATTTAACAAAAGTTACTTCTCACCCTAAGTAGCCACAGGCTGCACAGTATGCCAGAGTTTACCAAATTCAGTGAGCTCTGCATATTCATTCTTTATGAAGCAAAATCAGGATGTTTAGATTAAAGTGAAAAATCACCTCTTCAGAACAACATCTCTGCCACCACTTTGGCTGAGGACGCGTCCATGTGTTCTTGTGCCGAAGCAAAGCATTTACGTGCAAGTTCTTGTTGTTTTGCATCTTCATTCACCATTAATTCACCATAGAGATACACCCCCATAGCCTGAAAGAGGAACATAACACACAGGCATCCTACTACCAGTAACAACCATTAGTCATTCCACTGACCTGCTAGTGCTCCTTCAAACCGAAAACGAAACAAAACAGACAATGCAAACCACAGAAAATACCATAAACTCTATTACACTCCTCCTCCCCCCAAAAGAAGTAGTTTTCCCTGGATCTTTTTAGCCTAAGGATGGTTGTCTACATGCTGTGCTGAGTGTGTAAAAACAGGTTGTTAATGTAAGAGGTCTCTGTTACTGCACAACAACAACAAAACATTCCCACTCCACTTCTCAAGTCGAGTACTGTTTTCTTTTGTCCACAACCTGACTTGTTTCCAGATGTCCCTTAAGAAAACAGCTTGTCTTTGCTTCAGCAGGATACACATTTTCTTTCCAGTTGGGATGTTTACACAGTCATCCCTGAACAAAGACTGAGGCAGTCCACCCTGGAATTCCCATCTGGCAATTTGGTAACTGGGCATCAACTGCATATGGCCAGGTCTGTGTCTCACACTCCCCTTCCCGTCTGAGATGCAGCTGAACATGCACCAGACCCGGTTTGGTAAGAAGGCAGGCTCTTCCTAACTCCTTACTCTGGACACAGCAGCTACAAAAAAAGATAATGGGGCACCTGAGCGTGAGATCTGGGCCCCTCTGGCCACTGCCAGGAAAGCACTGCCTAACCCAACAGCAAACATGCTGGGGATTGCTTTCTTTTCTGATGATACAATTTTTTTCAGCTAATTACAGGAACTCAGTGAGTGTTAAGATGCACTTACCAAAATAGGATTACACGTGACAAAACATTAGCAGCCCAGCACGCTGACTTTTACAGTCACACTTATTGTTTGGACTTGAGGGACAGGAAAAATTTGGATAGCACGGAGAAAACACAATTTTTAACACAATTTAACACAATTTCCAGCATTGGCTGCTAAGCCTTAAAAAAACTAGCTTCAACAAGAAGGGAAATTTAAAGCTTAAAAAAAAGACTTTTTAGTCTTAATTAAAGGAAAAAGTCTCAGAGTGGCAGAAACCTGCCAGACTCCTTGGCAATCCCCTCAGCGTGCTCTCTGGCACCAGAGAACCCAGGACTCAGAGCTGCAAGGTTTGCAGTTGCACCAGGGTCAGGCAGAGCCCCTGCAGCTGAGCTCCACTCGCTTCCAGTGAGAATTTAAAAATGCTGGAGCTTCGTTACAAATAGGAATTACCTTCTCTACCAAATGCTAATAATTTCCCCCCAGGCCTAAATATCAATGTGCTGTGAACAAACTTGTGTTTTGTAGACCTGGAAAGTGTTTGAATAGTCACATTTGCATTTTTGCCCAGACATTTCAATAAGCTGTCTCTCATGATCAGTAAGGACATGCAACTGCTCTGGTATGAGTGGTAATCACTCTAGAAGCTGTGCCATAAACTTTATGAACTGCTGAAGTAAATGAAATGAAGATTACATTAAAAAAGTCGCAAAAATTATTTCCCTACACTGCAGAAAATGCCTTTATTTGGCAAAATATCTATTTCAAACATAATGTAATTCTGTATGGTTTTATCAACTCAAGGATTTCCTGGCCCCTCATCCTCCAGGTTCTGCTGGTGGTTATCAATCCTGTCACAGAATAAAAATATGCACAATATTTATAACTCCTTGTGAAAAAATGTTTCTTTCTGTCTTTTTTTTTCAGTTAATAAAGAGCTTGCCAAGAACTATGGGGCCTTTTATTGGCTGAGATATAAATAGGAGGTATACTTTAGAGCTAGAAGAAAGAGCATGCCAGACTGCAATAATTCAATTGTCCTGCATTGCCTGAAAGCACAAAATCCTCATCGGCTGCAAATGGCTTTGTTCATTGTCAGTATAAAAGGTAAAGACATTAATATCTTGGTGTTGAAGATGCCTACCCTCGGGGGCTTTCTTAAACCACAATGTGGAAGGGACAGAAGAAGCAAAAACTGAACACACAGACAAGATTTTAACAAACTGCAGCAAGAAAAGACATTAAAATATATTTTTTTTTGTTTCAGATTAAGGGCGTCAAAAAGTTGATTGTTTCCAAAATGCTAACTGAAATGTAACTTACCTGATCTTCTCTGAGAAATCTCTCAACATCTGCATACCCAGGCACATACTTGTGTTTAATGACAAGTTCACACCACCGATGACGAACCTGCGGGAAGAAAAAAAGAGAAGAAAAAAAAAAAAGAAAAGAAAGGAAACTGCATTCTCTCTGTGTGAGTGTTGATAAACAATCCATCTGTTCCCAGTTTGGCTTTTTTGTCATGGCTGGGTTTGGGTTCTTTGGCAGGTTGGTGTTTTTTTCCCCCAGCAACCTGGCAAGTTTTGCCCCAAGCAGCGCTCCTCACACCTCAGCCCGGGCTTTGGAAACCCAAAACAAACTCCTGTTCTGGGCCAGTGAACCAACCCACACCCAGGCACAGATCTGCAGCATCTGCACTGCCTCTGTTTCCAGTCTTGACTTTCTTTTTTGTAAGTTAGGTTAGAGGTTATTTCTTTTACACTGTTAGAAGGTGGGGTATGGAGGGTGGGGGGGAGCAGAGATTACAACTGCACAGATCTGGAAAAGCCACAACACACAACTGTTGATTTCCCCTGTGCCAGTGCATAACACCAGTGATAAATACAATTCTGTACCGATATTACATCCATGCCAAAAGGGTGACAGTTAGATATAAACCCATGAAACAGGGAGCCTTCAGTCAAATGAAACAGTTTTGCCACCATACCTTTGCTAGTAATAGGTTTTAAGCACCTTGTAAAGCATATAACATCCATCTCTATTTAAGAAGCCATTGTGCTGTTCTACCATTGACATACACACTGATAAAAACAGTTACTGACATTCTGAAATGAAATTTTCAGGCAAATCACAACCGAAAAAATGTTTCTGTTTAAGTAGCATGAACACAAAATCCAATATGAGTCTTTATGTTGCTGTCTGTACATTTCTGACTTTGTTCTTAGCCTCTCTTGCAGTGTAAGCGTCATTTCACTCTCCAGCAAGGCTTGCCCAGCTGTAGGCAGGGATCACACTAACATCTGATGTCATGCCAGTGGTTCAACACTGATACTGAGGGAAAGCAGGCAGGTGGAGTAACTCCCAACCCTTCTGCTATAGCCTTTGCTCTCACAGTCTTTCAGAAGTCAGGGCACTTAATAATCATCACCTTTCATGATAAGAATAAAACACTGGCAGTTCTAATATTTTTTTCAAAACTGAGCTCAAGTTGTGCTTATATCAAGTAACTGAGCATGAGCCTTTTCCTGAATGACAGATTTACTGATAACACTGAGAATGGGAGCCAGAAAGGGAGGGGGCAAAAAGGAACACTGGGGTATGCTCTTGCTTTTGGAAATAAGGTATTTGAAAATAATTTCCTTTTCATCCTAGTTCTTACCAGCTTTACATCTCAGGAAAAAATGTCTCAGACCTATGTAATTAGATGTTAATTCTAACTGCATAATCAATAAATGATAAACGCTCACAGGATGTGGAAGAGTCCTTTTTGTGTACTTGATACCTCTTTCCAGCAACCCCTTATACAAAATAGTCTGAACACAACTTACAAATGAAATACAAAGCCGCAGGGTTTGGGGGCTGAGTGGATTTTGCACTCACTGCATGCAAGATACCGAACAGTTACAGTGCAGTGCATGGTAAGGAATAATTGCTGTCTCTTAGAGCTTTTTGCTGACAAAATAACAGCTGTTAAGAGTCCTGCAAGTGCAACCAGAGCTCAATTTACAAAAGAAATAGCTTTCCAAGATTCAGTTCACTTTGCAGTAGATGCCCTTATTCATAATGTAGACGTTTGAAACCCTGCCCAGCTGCTGCTTCTCCCTGGAGACACTGAATGTTTCACCAGTAAAGCTCTTCCCAGGCGATCCTGCTTTGTTACAGGGTTTCTCACAGCACCAAGGAGCTCCATGCCTGGACAGAACTACCCAGGCTCAAAACTTAACATACGCCTCTCCCATCTGTAGGGTGAGTTAACCAAACAGAATATAAACACATATAAAAGACTGCAGATATATTTTACTTTGCACAGTTTGCCATATATTACAAAACCCCAACCAAACAAAAAAAAAAAAAAAACCCAAACAGAATTATTTATGCATTCTCAAAGCAATGTGGAGAACTGTGAGGAGGAGAAAGGGACTGTGGTCCCCTCCTGTGATCACTGCTCTTCTGCATCTCCTGACCCAGCAGTTACAGCACTTACCCAGCAGGTAAGCAATCAACTCCAGCTTCTGGAGCTGCTCAAGACCTCAAACCGTGCCCTCAGTGGGCATATTTCAACAGCAGATTACAGTGTATTCTGGGATGGGGCTCTCTTCATACCTTCTGGTGGAGCTGTTTTTTTCTCCTGAAGTTATTAAAACATTCATGGAGCGACAAGTCTTCAGGGCCTGTATTTCTGGTTACTCTTATAAGAAGCAGGGACCTGGTTCACAAGCCAGTTGGACCCCAAAACATATTTTGTGGTGCAGCCCTTGTAGCTGCATCGACAGCAGAACACAAGTTCTCTCTGTGAGAGAAGACCATTCATGTGGTCTTACTCCCTCACACAGCAATGTCATGTGTGAATGACTTACATTTGCAGTGGCCTGACCATCAGAATCCCAATTACTTTGGAAAATATGGAACTAAGCTGCATCTGTTCCCTTAACTGTTCTCTCCTCCTTCTGTCTTTGGCAACCACCCTCCTTTCAGACAGTTAAAAAGAAAAACATTTATTTGCTGAGTGAGATCTGTGGCAGCACACACTTTCCTTTCTCCCTTTCTCCATTTTTTCCTCTCTTTCTCCGGGGGAGTACAAATCCCGGCACATTTCCAGATCCGAAATGCTGGCCCTTTGCCAGCTGGGACAGGAGCAGCGTGTCTGTTACTCTCAGATTACATGTTTGTCTCCTGTCCTCCAAAATCCCCAGATGCTCCCGTGGCAGAGCTGCAGCAGAACCAGTTGCTGCCGAGGGGCTGTGAAACCTCGGGGTCGGTCAGCCCTGGCGGCTCCCCTGGGCCAGTGTGGGACCCCAGAAACCAGGCTGGCCCTGAGTCCCCTGGATGGTGAGGACTGAATTACACACTGGTTCAGCTCCCAGCCCTGCCCTGCAGGGTGACAGCCCAAACCACAGCCACAGCAAAGCCATTCCCTTCCCAGGTACTGCAGGGCGCTGGAAGGCAGCGATTTCTCTGGGATACTCCACGCCCTAGGCTGATTCCACGGCCATAAGACTTTTAGTCACGTAACAGTAGTGTGGAAAAAATAATTCAGTTCCCAGTGTCTCGTCCAGTGGTAAAACAGGCCCCACAGCCTCTCAGCCTAATGAATGAGTCATGGGAACAGGCACTTCCAACAGAACAGTATCCAAAGGAAATTCTGGAAACTGAGTAGCTTGTGGTAGGACTGAGCTAACCATGCTGCATCCTGTGTGTACTCTTCTTGGCATTTCTTTCCCTCCTAGGAGCAAATACTCAGTGGCAAAAATAATAATTCATCAGTCCTCTCCCAGTTTTCTCCCTGCACATTTCTCTGTTCTACAGAGATGCATGTGTCACTTCGGCTGGTTACAGCATAAACAACAAACTAAACCTGAGAAGTAATCTTCAGTAATCTACAGCAATCCATCCTGTTATTGCTGGCAGAAAGCACACAGGACTTTTCTGGATCTGAAGCAACACCTTCAACTGTCCAACCACCCACACACACTCTGACTGGTTTGGCAGCTGCAGGGACCCACATGCCAAAGTTGGAAACACAATTTATTTTCTTAGCCTGTGAGTGCTGTCCTTCCAAGCCCAGGAGTGACGGCTGACACCCCCCAGGATGGGGACAAAGAGGGGCACAGGGGTGATGGAGGCCTGCTGAGACCTCAGGTTCCTTCTGGATGGATCATCATTGCTTGGAAAAAGGTTTTTTCCTCCTGCCCTGCTTCTGGAGGTGGTGCAGACACTTCCACTGCCAGCTTCGTAGGCTAAATAAAGTTTGTAACTGTGACTTCTGCAAGACGCTCCTCACAGCAGTTGTGCATTTCTGAGGCACAGTCCAGGGGCATGAAGACACTGAGACAGTCACTGTCTCAGGTACAACATTTGATTTCGTAAATATCAGCCACATTGAGAAGTAAATATTGTCTAGCACCTGAACAGAACATCTTGGAAAGGATGCTGCCAGACAGCAGAGTTCTAAATTTAAGAGCAGCATCTCATACTAATAGCTTTGGGAGCCTCACAGTATCTTTTAATTTCATTGTAAGAAAAATACACAGCATTGCACAATATGATTTGTAACTCAAACATTACCTGTATTTTGACAGTGCAATGGAAGATAATGAGAAACCAAAATTATGCTTTGCCTTTTTTCAGGCAATGCAAGCTATTGCATGAGACTATTTAAGGGATATAAATACTTACATAAAATATATTAATAATCCATCTCTAAGACAGTCCTTTTATTTTAGCAACCTGGGCCAAGGACTTTTCGGAACAGTGCTTGAAAGCTGATGGACTAAACCCATCTAAGGCATCACAGGGATGGCTTCACTTTCAAAAGAAAAGCTCCCAGTGACATATGCACTTGAGAAACAACCTTTCTGAGCTATTTTGAAGCCATCTCAAATTACAGAGATTCTAATTTTTTCTGACCCAGGTGATAAATTCCTTTACCTAACCCATATTGTTCTCCCCCATGCCACACAATCATAGAACGGTTTGTGTTGAAAGGGGTCGTAAAGCTCGCCTTGTCCCACCCCCTGCCCTGGGCAGGGACACCTTCCACCAGCCCAGGCTGCTCCAAACCCCTCCAACCTGGCCTGGGACACTTCCAGGGATGGGGCACCCATCATTTCTCTGGTCAACCTGTTGTAGTGCCTCACCACCATCACATTAAAGATTTTTTTTTCCAAAAACATCTAATCTAAACTTACTCTCTTTCAGCCTGCAGCCATTCCCCCTCGTTCAGTGCCTCCACATTTCCTGCAGGCTCCCTTCAGGGCACTGGGAGGATGCAAGTGGGTCACTCTGAAGCCTTCTCTTTTCCACACTGAACAATCCCAGTTCTCTCTGCCTTTCCTTGCAGGAGAGGTGCTCCATCCCTCTGATCACCTTGCTGGGCCTGCTCTGGGGTATTTCAGACCCCAGGGCTGGGG